TAACTATGTGGGAGTCCAGCACCCTTAACCACCATGCCACCTGCCAGTCCCAAATCATTCATTTTTAAATTATTTTTGTTTAATTTTATTCATTGTCATTATTTTATTTATTTATCTTTTTGAAGTGACCAGAGAGACAGAGAGAAAGAAAGTGAGAAATCAAGCTGCTAGGTCCGGGACTCGAACCCTTGCCAGCCATGTGGGAGTCCAGTCGCCCTAATCACCATGCCACCTGCCAGCCCCATTTTTTTATAAGGATTTTTTTAAACATGTAATTATTCATGTATGTATTTATTTGTCATGATTTTCCAGCCAACCGATCTAGATCTTGAACTACAGCTAGCCATATGGGAATCCAGAGCCCTAACCACCATGCCACCTGCTGGCCCCCAATAATTCATTGTTTAAGAAGTCAGTGTGTAACGTGGTAAGAAAGTACTGGAGAGCCCCTACATTCTAACCTGTCACTTCACGAATTCCTCTTTGATAAAGCTGGTGAAAATTGTGAGGTTGCAACTTCAGAAAAGAAGCGACAATGAAACAAATGGTCCAGATGAACCAGGTAGAGATGGATACAGAGCAACTACACTTCCTGTAAGCGTGAGAATAAGTTAACTTAAAAAAGGCTAAACATAGATAATGAAGACAGAATACTTGGTAGCTACCTATTATGACAAATAGGTGGATTCAGTCAAAGTGAAAAATCTGTGTAGGAAAATAAGGTTAGGAGAAGAGGATTAGTGTGGGGCTGCTGATCACAGCCACGTAAATATTTATCTCGTGTCATCAGCAGACTCCCTACGAGAATGGGAATGAGGTTGAGTAATGGTTGAGTAGTGCTCACTATGCCTTTATTCTGTAAAAGTATTTTTCACAATAAAAAAGCTATCATAGGTAAATTAGAAAGTTGAGATAAATGTAGAAAGTTGGGACAGCCAGGTAGGAAGATGAAAACATTGTAACTCAGCTCCAAGTAATGTTAGGGAAGTGAAGCTGGACCATCAGAAGTGGCTTCCAACTACCTAGGCATTAGGCCACTGGAGTGAGCTTTACGACGAGAAAGAACACAGGCCCCAGAATGCCTCCGTTTGCCTTTCTCCCTGTATCTCTGCAGACAACCTCCCGCCACCCTCAGTATCGACCTCTGAGATGTAGCTCCATCCAACCCGAGGACCTGTCCAGATTTTGTGTTTATAAACGTAGGATGTTTAGATCATCATCTATGTGGAGTCTGCACTTCCAGTTTTTTTGTTTTTATCTTTTTTCTGTAGAGGTATTTTCCTATAGGGTGCATGCGCTCGTGAGA